TGAAGTAATTGCACTGGGAAATTCAAGCATTCAGCCAATCAGTCAACCTAACTTAATGATTATTTTTGACGAAGGCAACAGGCTTATTTTTTAAAAATTATTATCTAAATACTGTGTGGAATAGTATTTAGATACAAGTATGAAATTTTCAGAATGTTATATCGGTATCTCAAATTTGGCAGGCCGACCATAGATATCAGGTGTGCGTCGACGGAGGATCGAACCTCGGACCATGTGCATGGTCGGCGAGAGTCCTAACCGCTGTGCCACCGACGCACGTGTTTCCCTCACTCACACACACACACACCATTTTGACTATCGATAACCAACTTGACAATTGAAGTGCTTCAGTGACGCCGAACACAAGCTGACTAGATATTGTCTCGCCTTCTCATCACTGTTTCAATCGAAACACTCAGGAGAAGTAGATATCCGATGTGACGTGCTCTATTCCATGATTAGTGATTTTGTGACCCGTGAACACCAAGTACTATCTGATCAGTATGTGAGGAGAGGTGATGAAGAGAAGCACAGTAGATTTCACTTTACTCTCAGCAGACCTGATGAGGTCATTGTGTGTATTACACTTGAGATAACGCTCATTCACTCATTCACTTGAGTGGAACATATTCTTATTCAGTGTGTTTGAGAACACTTGAGCGAGTGTGAAATTGATTCTGAGGACACGCTTTAAGCATAGTTTGTTGCACTGTGATTTGAAGAAGGGCTATTTTTAAGGAGTTATTGTTCTCAACAGACTAACTACCAAAAGATTTTCATTGAAAAATGGACGCATGAAATTAATGCCTGTGTTCTAATGAATATCTGATAAAGCTTCCACGAACGATTCACTGTCACACAACACTCGAGCAATCCGGTCATTCTTCAACAGATCTGTGTGCCTTTATTCAACACTGAGAGCAATTTAAGCTCAAAATTACCTCAACAGTGGCGTTAGGCAGCTGTACAGACTAGCTAGTTATCTAGTACAAAACAAGTGGTGTTGCGGAAATTAGTCGGCCGAAATTCAACTGTAAGTCTTGACTTGGAAAGAAATAGAATATTCCCACGGAACAAATTGGATCGCAGCTCTTTCCACACGAATCACAAACCACATCACTTCCGACCGACAGACAGTCAGTCAGAGAAACAGACAGAAAAACAGTTCAACATCAGAGTGGGCTCCATTCGCTCTAAATCACACACTATGATACAACCCATTATAAGCGTGTCGCACAAGCATGAAGAGAAGCATTCAGATCGAAGATTGAAGTTTAGCGAAAAGGAATCATAACGATCAAGTCAACATGTGATGCACTGATGTCAGAAAGGCGATATTCAGTCAAGGAAAGGAACGCATAATAATAATGATAGTATTAATATCATGCAATGGTGGTCGATCCTGCCGGCGCAATGATAGTAACAATATCAAAGTTATTTGAGACATTTAAATAAAAGCCATTATTGTGATTATATGGTTGATGAGGGATTTCGCAAACGATTATTCCTTCACAACGTTCTGAATTGGAGATGCGAATTCCTCCTGAAGTGTATGATATGTCATTGTCAAAATCAGGCAACATCACGAAATTTAGAAAAATAACTTCACGCAGGAGTGAAACAGACAGTTTCCATTAGTAGGATATTGGGGGAAAATGATTCATTGTCGAGAGATGGTATTCTCTCCTCACTGGCGTTAATATCTTGTATGCAGTCGATAGGTTAGAAAGCACCATGAAGTGATCACCTGCACAAATGTTTTCCTTAACGTCTCCAGAGTGTCAGTCAACTGTTTTGCAATATAAATGGATTGGTTAACTGCGACTTTGCCCCATCGAAATGTTATCTTGATGTCATTATCCTAGGGAATACTGATACGCACTAAATCAGAGATCAATATATTGTTGTTGACATCGTGACAGCCTCTGTCTCACTATCCTCATAATTGTCTTCTAGGTGACAAGGGTAGATTTTTGGCTCTTCATTGAACAACTTGGAGTCTCAGTCCCATCTCTTCACATCGATTTGAAACCTTTCCATGCCATATCTCCTTACTTCTTTATATCTGAGGAGACAATCGAATGTCATCACTTGTCAGCCCATTGATCGCTACCCGAATGTGAAGTGACGAGTTGGGTATATATCCGAGTGTGACATGACGGAGATCGTGTGAGGAGGAGATGTTAGCATATGGATGATGGTGAAGGCAGATAAAGAGGATTGCAGACAAGGAGGTGGAGCGGGGATGTGCTGTTGAAACCCTATTCTCCATTCGGAACCTAAGAAAACAGTAAAATTAAGCAGTAATATGTTAAAATCCGATTGCAGATTAACGCAAACATCTAATCGAATATTGACTGTTAAATCAAGCGAAAAGAGAAATGTCTCACATGCTGTCAGCATTCTTAAGACTATCATCTACAGGATGCTTAACTTGGGTGTCGAAAATCACAGATGTTTGTAGACAGCATTCAGTTAGTCAAGTTCGTAAAATATAGCGAGTTGTTGTGTTTATGTGTCACGTTATCGAAGGCTTTTCGAGAAAGGAATGTGCAAGGATAGCACATGATCAAGCGAGGCTCTAAATCTTAGTTGCCATAGAGAAGGAGAGGGGATTACGGAAATTCTCCTCTTCTCTTAACATGTCATTCAATTTTCAGCAGTTTGAAACTGCGATCTTCAACATGCCTGAGGCAATGAGATGGATGGTGACTAGCAGTGGAATCCTCCAGGATGTGCACCTCACCCTGTCTGCAATTCGTCACCTAATTGATGTACCTGCATTCCCCAGTGACTGGTGGCCTTCACACCAAGACTCTAGTCTACTAGCCATAGTTTCAAACGCCAAACACAACCTCTAACACAAGAGCGCTCGGAAAACCACAGCCTCCTCCTCTGCAACGACTATCGGCCTGTTTTTATTTCCAATTCAATATCGATTTTCTGCTTGACTGATTGGACGGGATTATCCAGCCTCTGCTGACGTATCAGCTACTAGTACGGACACTTCTGCGATTGGATCACTCATTGCAGTTGAAACGACGTGCACTCGTTTCGAGTCACATTGAGAAAAACATCACTCACTCACTCACTGGGTAGTGCAGATACATCACCTAGCTGACGAGTTCCAAATCAAATGGAATGAGCATCCTACTGGTGGATTCCACTGCTAGACAACATTTATCAAACTAATTCAGCTGAATCCTCAGATATTGTCGACATGCCAGTGCTAGCAGCCGACATGTCAACACAGGCCAAACACGGCGGTGGAATCAACCAACAAGAAATTCGAGATTGAATCAAAACCAGTAGGTGTGTTGAGGTAAGTTTTTTATCTCTATTATCTTGAAGCAATTCAAGATGCCCTGCTGAATCTTCTGTATCAATCGGATTTTCTGTGACTTCACTGTTCATGGTTTTACTCCTTCCTATTCGTAGACTCATCACTTTATGTGTGTGTAAAATTGCAGGTACACCCTGATTTCTGTTTCCTCAATGAATCTTCTATGGCAACCACACTTAAAACGATAGGCAATAACATTTATTTGAACCCTGAAAACTAATTGAGATGTTTCAATTGAATCTTGAGAAAACACTTCACTTAAGTGCTCTCATCAGAGTGTGCGTGTATGGGATAGCCTGCTGTTTCGTACTAGGTCGAGAGTGATCTGTAGCACTCAACCCACTGGTGTATTCTTTCAAATGTCTTCCTTTTAGAGTTACGCTTAACGAATCGCGCACTCGTAGCAAACAAATGAATGTGGTAGAATTCAATGGTGTGTTTATGTAGCTCGCTTACAGAACATTGAATGAACACACCTCCATTTGAAATGTTGTTCAGAGTCAAATTCGAGATCCGATTAAACCCATCAAAGGCAGTGAGATAAAGGGATCTGAGCATAGCTAATGCACTAGCTATATTGAATTCTAAGCCCATGCTTTGTATCCAATATAAACGCGTCCAACCTTCGTCTTTAACATGGTCATCGAAAACAGTAATTTCACTCAATTGGGATGACTATCCAGTTACGTTTCTTATCCGAACTTTCTGTCTATTTTGTTATTATTGCATTCGAATCCCTACTTGTAACCATGTTTATTCAACCCTCAACCAGAAGTGAAGCTGGAACATTCTCAACCATTTACTGTAAACACACGTGTGTCCAGTCTGGTTGATGACTTAGTCGAAAAGAAAATTTTCTTTACATTTTCTTCACTTATGCATAGCTGAAGCTGTAGCTATACATGGACAAAAACCTAAATTATGTATTGAGAAACGTTTTGTTGAACCCCTTTTATTCATCTTGGTCATAGTAATGTTCTTTTAATTCTGTTTTTATTTTACCACCTCAATTCATTCTACTTCAATTCACCTTCACTATCTATCCTTATTGTTATCATTATCTTACTGCTTATTTTTCTTAACAACACTTGACCTGAAATTTTCAAATCTTTACACCAGTTCACATATTGAATAATCTCTGAGAGTTTTGTAATTCATCCACTTCAACTCTACCTCGCCCTTAGTACATCGTTTCAATTATCTTTATTCTCATCATCATGTGTGCAGTGTTGACTGAGAAATTTCTAGTGCATCCACTTAATGCTTTCTCTTTCTGTAATAATAGTACGATTGTACAGTTAGCTGGAAAATAAAATCGTTGAAAAAACAGTATTTCTTTGCTGAGCAAAAACCGGTGTTCATCGCCTTACCTATAGAAGATCTCACGTATACCTGGCAACTACACTTAAATTGATAAACAATAAACTTTATCTAAACTCTTAAAACTAATTGAAATGTTTCAACTGAATTCTGAGAAAAGTGCTCTCATCAGAGAGAGTGTGCTTGAGACGTGAAAATGCATAATGCTTATTCAAATCTCTGAAGTGGACTTCAGGTCAACTGAAATCACACCATCATTCCCACTCACACATACACACACGCACACTATACTGTATAAATACGGCGGATGCTCAAACATTAATCAGTCATTAAGTTGGTGCACTGAGTGAGGATGAGACACTTAGTCTCCGTCACTTTATTGCTACTGTACTGTTTGTTGGGCTGTTCTGGTGAGTTGATGAATGGGATTGTTACTTTTGTGGCTATATGTTTCTTTGGAAATTGGTTTGATTTGATTTTAAATACAGAATGTGAGACGAATTCACGAAGTCTGTTTGCCGTGAGTCGATAGACATCGATGTGATTTCACCTCCGAATGACGTGAAGGTGGATTTCGTGTAAAGTGTTAAGACAAGGGAGGATTTTGATATGAAATCGTGATGAACTTAGAGACACTTATCTCGTTGGATGGCATTCATAATTTAGTGAGTAAATGTCATTGACGTACTTGCAATTTATAAATCCCCTTCCACTCACACACACACATCATTCATGGCATAGTTTTGAGCAGATATATGGAAATTTATCCATTGCATGACTATAAAAAACATGCCTAATAGTAGCGATAGTATTAGCCTACAGTGCATGGACTTCATAAACGTGCTCACTGACTCACTGTTTAAGTTTTTGCATAACAATTGAAGTTGCCACATTGCCTGCAGCACACAAAGGCAGACGAGGGAGGGAACATGAGGGTTCGAAACAACTATATTATATAGGTATCAAAACGATTGCCATTATGTGTTCGTTGGCACTAGACTCCGTAGGCACTGTCAATATACTTCTCAGACTGGTACAACTTCCTTACTTTAGCATTGGCTGAATTCAGCAGCTACACCTGAGAATCCTGCTTTCAGCAGGAAACTAGATGGCTTTTGACAGGTCTAATCTCCTTCACATCGTTCGAACATCAGTCTGTTTTGGTGTAAGCTGAGATAGTGGAAAGACGTCGATGTGTGCATCGTGGTCTAGCTTCTTTTCTATCGGATCCGTTCAGACAATTATCCACTGGGATCTGATCAAGTAGAGATTCTCTTTATTTTAGCCTCATGTGAATCTTTCTGTAGGTATTCCTTCCATACCACATTTCGTCTCCGATGTCATTTATAGCTTCTCACATGCAAATCGTTGACTAACAAGAGATTCCCCTGAAATCACCTTGTTGTTCTACTCACTAAATAGGCGTTTCTGTTACACATCTATGCACATTCCTACTCGCTATACTAGTCATCACGTCTTTACTACATACCATCCTGAATTGTGCATCAATTTGTTTCATTTTCCAGATACCCATCGTTCTACTTCGAATGCACGAGGTAGGTGATTTAATACGAGTACATTCTGATTTATATGAAATGCACTCACAATAAAGCACTGAGATTTTTTGTATATCGAATACTTGGTTGCAGTCACATCCACTCACTACAAGTGAATACATATATGATAGGAAGAGCACTACTCACGCACACTCACAGAGTCACAATCGACTGAACAGTTGTCATGTTTATTTTGCCAATCAAGAATTTCACTGATGCTTATCGTTGCACTCAACAGGATTCACCTCCTCATCCATTTCTTGAACACCTTATACTTTTATCCATTGTATTATTAGGAATAATATCTTTTGTTATAAATTAAATTGTCTTCTAGATGATTTCAAGTCAGCATTGATGGAATACAAGGGAGCATATGACGCAAGCCAACTAATGCAATGTAAGCATTGAGAATTTGTATTGATTTAAACTCGTTCTATTCTTTACTGGATCACTTGAACACGATTTGTTATTCATTTTTGATTGTTGCGTCATCGTACAACAGTACGCCCTTCTTTCATCGGAGGCACACATGATATGTCTCTGTGTGTTTGTCCACATGACGAGTGAGATGATCATCTGTGAGTAGATATTTCAGTAGGCGTGCGTAGCAATATGAAACTGATGTATGCAAACATCACATCATACATGGAAGACATTTATCTCCGAGGTGAAGGCATTCGATATATCTGAGAACTGAATAGAGTGACATTTCTAATGATCGGATATATATCATTTATACTGTCTGAATTTCACTAGTATTCGTGCATGTTTGCCGTCAAATATATTTCCAGTCAATATCACGATTACTGCCTGTTCCGTGGAAGGCCATGATTAGTACTGTGGGTTGGGGTGATAAAAGCGGTAAACACACGTTCAGGTGTTTCAGGTTTGCCCGTGGGTTGATATCAGTGAGAGAATCATCCAAAATCTGGGGTGTACGGGATAGCTTTGAGATTAAATGGCAGTACTCACCCGACCGTTCTAATCTTTCAAATGTCTTCCTTTCGTAGATCATATTTTGGAGAATTCGGCTATTTCCAATGATGCATACAACTTTGCCCTGCTGCTAACGGGTGAGATTATTGATTTAAATTATATTTTAATAGTTTACACACAATGATAAGTTTTGTTATTGGTAATATTTCGAGCAAAATTACCAATAACAAAACTTATCATTGTGTGTAAACTATTAAAATATAATTATACTTTATTTGATCTAATCCAGAGATTATTGATGTGTAGGAAAATTTTATACGATATATTAAATTACACATTGTTATTCACGATATGACCTGAAGTGGATGAGAATCATTTCCAACTATACGCATCACACCGAGTTTTCCATACTTCGTACAATTCTTCCTATTGTTCAAGTTGAACGAGACAACAACGATGAATGGGCACTGTATTATTAATATGAGATCGTATTTTATTCGACTCAACGGACTACAACCTCAACAAAACAACTGGAATGTAAATCATGCGGAAGGATTCAACATCATATTTTTCAAGATGACATGGTTTAATTGATAGTAACGAAGAGTAACATAAGTGAGAAATGGTGTTAGCTACTAGGTTACTAGGAATTAGAAAGACCGACAATTTATAGACTATTTAAACCAATACTCTTGGCAACATAATTCATGAATTTTGAGTAGAAACGACGTTTGTGTGGTGAGAGTGCAACAAGACAATCAGCTGAACAAGTAGAAACATTAACATTTCTCTGAGCAGGATAGAAGATGTCATAATGAAGCTGCGTACTATGCTACACCATCAAGGCAGTGTAAGTCTCTCCACTCTCCTTCTTTCTCCATGCATCGATTTGATTCTAATCATTTCATGGTGACTGTCTCAGCAAAATGTATTAGTTTAGGTTTCTTTTGCTTGTTGATTATTTTGACCGACTTTGGATTGTCGACAATTTGAGCGGTGTTGAACAGATGATACGCAATCGGTCTGTTCAATGCCTGACAGTGACCCTTTTAATTTTAGCTGCTTCGCGTCATCTTCTGTTGTGTTTGGAAATACTTAATTATTTCATCTGAATGTTATTCACTTTAGCACCTTTGTTGCACTGTTATAGAAAAATAAACTTTCTGTGGTTTTCTAATCTATCATGGTGTTATACGCTTTCCGGTTAAACTTTCTTTCTACCAAACAATCTTGAACTCTGTTCCCCAGTGCATTAGTCCAATTACCTGACGAATACACAGTCATTCTAGCTCTTAATAACTGAATAACCTACATCATTCCGACATATGTTACTCCTAGTTCCCATCATTTGCTTCCCACCGCCTTGAGAAAAGTATGTCCCCTCCTTCGATGTAGATCATAGTGTTTGTAGCGTCCACGTTGTGTGTGTGTGTGTGCGTGCTTGTGTCTTTCTCGCCTTGTTGATGAGTATTCAAACTCTCTTTGATAATTCATATGTGTTGTAAGACGAAACACAATTACAGAGAGGAGGAGTTCGCATCTTTCAAATGTGATTTATCGAGTGTCTAAGTTGATGAATCCAGTAATTGCATCTCTCACTTGTTATTTTCTACACAAATGTTTTATTAATTTAGAAAGCCAAAGACTGGATAATTTATACCGACTGAAATGGATTAATGAACTAATATGTGAGTGAAATTATTGCATCAATTTGTTTGCCACTTAATTGGTTGATTGAGGAGGGGTGTTGCGATGTGAATCTAAACTTTTTCGACTGTATCATATGGTCAAAATCGGCTAGTCAGTCAGTAGATTAGCTAGTAAGTTACTTACTTAGTTACTTAGTTAGTTAGTTCGAGGTTAGCGAGTTACATATTTCAAGGTTAGTCGGATACCTAGTTATATACCTAGTGAGTTATTTAATTGGTCAGTAAATTAGAAGCTGTTAGCAGATACAGCCCCGTGTGTCACACCATTCTATGGTGGCTAGTTACCCGAAAATGCTGACTAGCCTTTAATAAGTGGAAAGAGATTTAAATCGAGATTTTATTGGTAAGAGTTGACTGCAGCCAGTGGTTGGCCACATCCATGGAACTTAATAGAAACATGCATTACTGGCAACTTACGTTGCATTATGCTGCATTTCACATTGTCATCACTCTCACTAGTTCACTGATGTCTGCAGAAATCATTCCGGTGATCGCTGCACAATCGTTTTTCACTCAGTGAGCATACATAGAAATGATGATGTCATTGTGTTCGTCCAATAAACAGCACTATCGATGATGCCTTCAGTGTCAGTCGAAACTCTACTGGTATAATATCGATCGGAGTCAGCAAGAACATTGCTCGAAAAGTGAAATGCACTTTTACACACACATTCATGGGAAGCCGATCACTCATCACATCTATGTATTGTAAGAATCAGACATTACAATTGATTCCTCATTCACATACATGAGATTCATGATAATATTCAACTTTGTTTGCAGCTTCACCTGTATTCCAGGCGAACAAGGTGACTGACGAAGACACTAAGAGACGATATGCAAGTGAGTTATTTTCTGTATGTTTATACTCAGTAATTTAACGTGTGGTTTACACAAACGAGGTTTCCGTCTCCTTCTTCTTCTTATTCTTCGCAACAGTCCACTGGTTGATCGTATGAGACCTTTCCACTGACAGAGCATAGCGATTCGCACTTCCGCTTACAATGTCACTAATAGAGACGAACACTCAAATACAAAGACGCATCTTCAAATTCTTCTCTTTCCATTCCCTTATTAGGCATCCATCTACCGTTCACGGAGAACCAGTAGATCCACTCAGTAAACACCTGGATGAGAATCTCATTTGAAATATTGTTCACAAATAGTGTTATTGTTGAGTAGTAGGAACATTGTCAGGATTTTATCATGAAGTGAACATCATCGTTTATCTGCCATTAATTATGTTAACTGGTGTCTTCCTACGTGATTGCACAATTTTAATGCTTGTAGATGAGTACGAAGAGGGGAAACGCCTGAATAAATCTACTAGTCTGCGCGAAGAAGGTAATTACCGACTTTTCATTTACTGTAATTCTTTCTTATCGCAGTCAATGGAAACATGACACATGCGAGTGACATACTCATGACACTGGCATGGATGTGATTTGCACACAAATCGTTTATACAGGGCGTGACCACTGACGTGGAAATATATCTTCATTAGAAGATACCGAATCCACTGGTAGTTATCTCGTAAATTTGTGTGCTTAATCATATTGAATACACAAACACACTCATTGTTTCTATTCATGAAACGGATGAAGAGCACTTCATACGTGAAGTTGCATTGTTTGAAATGCGGTCAAGCTACTGTGGGATATTTGGTGGCAATCCACACCGTGATGTTCAGCCATCTAGCATGATGGCCACATTGCAAACTGGACTGATAGAATTGAGTTTGCAGCAAAACAGAAGACAAATTGTCCAGTGAAAGTGGTCAGACACTATTTGTCAGACAGTCCTCATGTGGACGGATCTTCGCTAGTGCCTACAAATCTGATTTGTTCAGAGTATCGTGGAGCTGGATGAATAATGAGATCGAGCTAATCGTTAGTATTTCTTCGAATAAGCTAAATTATGTAGGTGTCCATTGATGAATGTCAAGCGAACAGCCATTCTACCTGGTTTGATTACATGGCGGATAGTGACTGGCCATTGAAGTGGAATTGTGTTCTCCAGTGGATACCTCCTTGGCATTCGAAACGAGGAGCACTGGGTTCGAATCTTGGTGTGTGCGTGTTGAAGGGAGAAACACAATCACTCACTGGAGAAGGGAAGTACATCCAGATGACCAGTCTCTAATAGGATGAAATGCGCATGCTGGATTTCATTGCAACACATAAACATTGGACTATTTGAAATGCATCCTCACAATAAGTGGCTTTCATTAGCAGTTTTCCAGTTTGAATTACAGGAAACAAACACGTGTCGATGCATACACATTTTCCTTTTCTATTTCTTGTAGACATTAAAATCCTTATTGAGACATTTGAAGAGAAATGGAAAGCCAGAGCAAGATTGGATGCTGCTGAAGGTAAAAGAGTAAAGCAGTCGATACATTTTTCTTTAGTAAGTATGTATCAGTGAGACTTTCTCACTACTGAAAATTGATAGAACGGTCAGGTGTTGAATGAAACTCGGTGTGAACGGCATCATGGTGAACTGCACACATACGACTAATTTCAGGCTCACAAGGCGAATGACTGCAGAAATTAAACAATGTCAACTTTTTTGTGTCAGTCAGTCAGTGGGTCATTAATTGTTGTGCCTCCACATAACTCACCAACTCCGTATCTGAGAAGCACATCGCATGTGGATTTCTTCATGAGCTTTTATGACAGGCTTTGAGAAACCATCTTTGCCTTGAATTACAGACTGATTTGTGTTGAGAATAAGTGTGAGTGAGAGACAAACGGTAAAATGCATCGCTTCATTTTAATTGGATGTATCAGACTGGTAAATGTCTGACAGTGATTATTCAGTCCCGAATATGAGAACGTAATTAAACTATACTAAAATTAAACAGTCCCTAGCACGTTAAGTGACTTTCGTTTCTTCTCTTAAATTTCTTGTAGATGCTCAGCTGTCTAGATCATCGGCTACGTGTTCGAAGAAGGAAGGTGAGTGTTCGAGGTTCAATTTTCACTATTTGTAACATTTTTTCATGCGAAGTAATTAATTAATGGCAAGCTGATGCCTTGAATTCATGTTTCTATGAATTGAGGTGTCCACACGATACTGGGTACGTCAAAAGAACATTCCACCATTCAATACACTGATTGCCAGAATGCATACGAGCCTACATAATATGTCACCTCTTCCCTTGATGTGTGGGAAATCTTGTTCTTCAATAAAGTCGAGGCAGTTGAAAGTGACACCACTCATCAAAGTTTTGCAAACATGCTGATGATTGTGATTTACATCCGTTCACAAGTGTTATGCCACATTAAATGCATAATTTGCATATTTTGGATTCACCTCAACTGCAATAAGCACTGAACATGAGTGAATGACACGACATGAATCCGAAACTATGTGAATATCCAGTATATTCTGTTAAAGAAGTGCAGCCCAATAGCCCATTATGATTGTTATCATTATTATTATAACTGTTCCTATGGATTCTGAGTGGAAGATAGGGCTTCAACTGCACATCTCCAGCTTGTACTGTTCTTTGCAAACCTGTTTAGTTGGCTGGCCAACACTCATTAAGTTATCTGATTAATAACGCTGGCCTTTTTCTCTCCCTTAAGTCTACGGACCAGAGGAATACTATATGACGGAATCGGTGAGACAAATTCAAGAACTGAAAAGTAAGTTTGCAGTTGCAGTTATCTAATAATGTGATGCGTCTAGTCCTCAGGTTGGTGCAGACTGAATTTTATCATTTTTTGATTTACAGCTTGATTCCAGCATGAAGCACACTGGGTGAATGTAAGGTGATTGCGGGTAATCGGGAAGATGCTCTGTACTCAGATTTCGTGCTTTCATCATATGAAATTCCTCAAACTGATGGATGAATTGACAGAGGCATCCTATCCAGCAACAGAAGCGGTGATCACAAGGAATACTTGTCAGCCGACGATGCTGTACATTGGTTACTTGTATTCCTAGCAAGCGCGCTACTTGATCGACCACACACAATGAAGTGAGTTTGGAAGTTACGAAACATATGTCCACGGCTTCCTGCCGATTACCTCCAATCATCTAATCATGATCCGATGAGCTGCATTGGAATTTGAGTGTGTGTGGACTAATCTTCGTAGGTCTGGAAAACAGCGAAAACGACTGAGATGAATAATGAACTGACCATTTTTTTCTGTTCAAATTATATTTTAATCTTCGCTTACTCCTATTGACCTCTAAGATTCAATGATCACGATTTACTGTGTAATTTTTCAGAGAATGCCAAAAATATTCTTCATGGACTATTTCAAACATTCAAGCAACTCGTGTGGAATAACAAGGAGACACGTAAGCGGCATATAATGAGTATGTGTGAAAACAATGTTTTGATTCGTGATGCTCACTTCAACCTGTTTGAAGGATTGTCATAATTAGTGAGCATTCGACCGCAATGAACAACTCTCGATGATAGATTCCATGGACCACAGATAATCGACGACATCATCGGTGTCATCAGATGCATACTTCAAATTGCGAGACATTACAACTCGCACATCATTCGACAGTAGAAGAATGATAGCACGATAATATTGTGCATGTCCCATCAACTGTTTATCGTGATAGTTCATTCATTACTCTCGGAATTGTCTTATCACTTGATGCGTGCAATATGCATTCCCTATGAGTTGGTTTGCAGGATTCTCATTCGTTTCAAGTCTGATCATGGAATGATGTGGTGGCGTGAGGCAGATTGACAGGAAGTGGCCAACACTGAAATCGACATGTTCAGTGAATGGCTGCAGCAGAGATAGAAGTGTTTATTCCTCAAATCTGGATTTCCGTCACGTTGGAGACATGAAATAACCTCATCGCGAGACTTATTTAGCCTAGGGTCAATCGCCAACCAGTCAGAAGCATGTTCTCCCCCGTGAGCTAGCCGAGATTTAATGTTGCTAACAATGTTCAAATATCAGGTGTTTTTTCATGATAAAATATTCCGTTTACAATTCCCTCATCTTCTCATGTAGGAATGTCAATTTCACGAGCATTGAAGATCAGAGAGTACTGGACATCTGTTTCGTCTTGTCTTTGAATCTCCATTCAGCCTGATCAAATAGTTTTGATGAGCAGTAATTGAACAGGCACTCACTGACCACGATTTGAATCCAAGAACTACTGGTTACAACTCGTGGTGGCAGATAATTCAATGACTGGTACCCCGTCCAGCGACCACTCTATGAACTCGCGATTCTAATAACTCGTGATTGTAGCCTGACCACCAACGAATGTCATTCGCGTGTATTTATCCCTACACCCGACGTGGTGGATCCCAGTGGTCAAAACGTCTGACTAGAAAGAACTACACATCACTTCATACTGTATAGAGCCAGTTACTGGTTGGCGTCAGATTAGTTTCCATGACTTACTTCGTAGAGATTCGATTAGTTTCAATTTTCATCACGCATTGATATCATTTGGACAAGCACTGTGCATTGGTACACTGAATCTCCCAGAATAGAGAATAATTCATTGAATTTCGTTGGATGTATCGTAATATCTCTTAGTTGTACATGCAATCGCTGAAATTGATTTGTGACAATGTAAATTCATAGGGAGTGTTGCTGGCTCAAGTACATGTGTTCAGTATAATTGTGTCCTCTGATCTGATCAATGTCACTGCAAAGACTCACTTGTTTTCCCCACACCATGTACAGAGCCAAATTCAATGACCCTCTTCTCTTTCAATCTTTCAGTATATGCTTCATTAGAAAGGAAAATCAAATTTGCCGAAGAGGCGTACCGCAGTGAATTAGGTACCTTAATTTCATTTCACTTATTATTTAATGTTTGATATATAAGAATTTGCATATTTCTGTTACTTTCCCAATAAATCCATCTACGGTGTGTCCACACCAAGTAGTAAACTGGTGACGAAATGCAAAAGAAGTTGACACCTAAAATCACCTATTTCATGTGATGAGTGTATACTTGGATCCACATTGAAATGTCGTGCAGTAATCAACTGTGTTACGCGAGCCACAGGCAGTTAATTTCTGGTAGATTTCGGTGTGTATGTTTGAAATTTCGACAGGTTTGAGGTGATTTGATGTAAATTTGATTGAAACTTTGGATTTTTGTATGTAATTTAGGTTCTTGTGAGTATTCGAGACTAAATGTAGGAATTGGCTTGCCTTCATATTACTTCAAATTAGTTATAAGCTGAACTGGTGATGGCTAGCCATCATATGAAACATCATGTCTCACTGCAGTCTCAGCGTCAAACATTCTGTGCATTTCGTATCTCACTGCCTTTCATACTACATTCCAATTCACAGAAATTTGTTTTCATCTCCTACCAGATGCACTTGCCGAAACAGTAGTCGACGTGGAGTATAAGCGACTTCATTATTTAAAATGTAAGTCAGTCTGAAATCGTAACAGTTTTGTACTCTTTAGTACTTTGTCCAAAGGAAAGAGTCAAAGTCTTAATAGACTCAGTGACTGAGGAGGCTTACACACCAAAAAAGTACGTTCCTTCTATGTAATTTGTCTTCATGGTGAAATGTATTCATTCATTCAATCATTTATTTATCCATCGCGCAATTGATTAGTGAACATTTAATGACGTCTGCTGCATATCAATCACCTGATAACAGAGTGAAATATTCTGCGTGAAGGTGCAGTGAATGCACTGAGCGGATGTGTTTTGGAAAGACAATGAAGTGTTTCAGTTATCATTTACTCGACAACGTTATGAATGGAGTGAGGTCTAAACTTCAACTTGATCTTGAGTGTTTTCTGAACAACACACATGTTTGGTTGCACCGTGCGGCTGCCATCTCACCATCTGCCTCACCATGTTTGCCTTATCAACTCCCTCAATACATTGACATCCTGAATGACATGAGAATGACAGTTGTATCTATCTGTACACAGACATTGTTTCTACATACCAAGAAATTCATTCGTCTGTTGAAAACATTTTGACATAAAATTCAGGCCTACAGCCTACATCATTCAACGTTATCTGCCAGGGGTCACTTTTGAAGTCGATTAGTTCGACCGGAAGAACTCAACCAAGCGTCCACGTCATTCAGCAAACTGTAGCGTGCGCTCTTCAACTAGCTAGCTAGGTATCTAGGTATCCAGCTAAGTAGACATTACCACCGAAAATGAAAACAGATTTTCATCTCTCTACACTCAAGGTAGAAACAAAGAATGAACAGACTTCTTTTTGATACAACAACGTCTGGTTTCAATTCATGAATGGAGGCATTTAGCATGAATACTGTGGATGATTTTAAAGTCACGATAGGAGTTCAAAGAGTGTCAGAATTCGATCAAGTGTTCTAGAATAATGAGCCTCGCAAACACTTCCTTTCCCATAAAGTATAATTATATTTTAATAGTTTACACACAATGATAAGTTTTGTTATTGGTAATATTTCGAGCAAAATTACATCAACAATTCCAACACTGTGTGAACACGGCAGTAATTTGCTCGAAATATTACCAATAACAAAACTTATCATTGTGTGTAAACTATTAAAATATAATTATACTTTATTTGATCTAATCCACAATGCTCAAACTTTTTACTGATATTACTTCCTTTCCCCATTGTAAAGTTATGCTGCAATGTGCACTGCTTCACTCTGCTCTCCGTGTAGAAGGCATTCTCTTCGAGAGCATTGCATTCTTTGCTGAATAAGATAAGGTGAACTGTGATAGATGCACATGGAGGTGGTCAGATGAGTGAGATTACCTCTCACACAGATGTAGAACAACCTACGACTGGCTGATGCGGTCCAGTTGAAGTAATGATGCAAATGTGGCATTGAGGAAGTCGTATGAAACTCGTAACTCTTAATTCGTACTCCGGTGAGTTGTTGTGCATTTCTAGAAAGGGAAAATCATGGCCGTCGGACACTCACCGTTCACGGGAAGCAATGTTGTCGAATTTCGCACTGATTGTAAGTGACATCATTCAAGCAACAGTTTTATGTCTTCATTCAGCATCGTGACAACATCTTGGGGATTGGATGGCATGAATACCATGGTTGAATTAGATGGTTAGTCAGTTAGTCAGTCAGTCAATGTTGATCCTCGTATTCATTCGTTGCTACGATTAGGGAACTTATGTGTGTTAATTCATCTAATTGATGTGCGATCGTTGTAATTTTTCAGATAAACATCGTCTACCAGCAATGGATCAGCACACTGGACGAACATATCTACAATAAATTGAAGTCCTGTCCACCATGTGTTCGCGATTATTTAACTCTTAACTCAGTAACTCTCTCTTTCACAGAAATATTGGCGAAAATACTTTTCTCTCTGCTTTTTTTAACTGAATTTTAATACAAATAAATGAGTGTGTGTGTGTCTGCCAGTTTCATAAACTTTGAATTGTTTTCTGAGAAAATGTGTTATTGAGTGTTAGTTTAGCGGGGTTTGGTTGGTTACAGGTCCTCTCACCACGTAGTGTGCGTTAGAGAGCTATTGGAAATAAGCAGGTGATACCAGGTGACTCCTCGTCTGAGACTCTGCGGTACTAGGCTACAACCCTGAGTTCGAACTAATTGACCGAGTGGATAACGAGCTCACCACGTTAACGGAAAATTCGTCACCCGTTTGGGTCGCAAACTCGGAGCGAACGACTGTCCAGTACTCCTTGATGCTTTTCAATGCTTCGCTAACTGATGTCAACTCATGCGTGAATCTGTACCTTTGAAAGACATAAAATGGAGTAGATTTTTAGCTGAGGTGGACGAGTGATTGTATGATCGTTGGATTTCACGTCTCCTTATACCATGTATCATCTATGTTAATATCTCTTCTTGCATCGATTTACACCGGAATCACCACATTGGTACTCAACTTGTAACTTATCCGTCCTCCAATTCACCACTTGTTTTATGCATTTAACTCCTTAGCCAATCGATCGAAGCCTTCATTTCTTCTTCAAACCTCACCTTTTTGGATAGAAACCATACAAGTGCTATTTCTGAGTACTTTTCATTAAGCTTGGAGTCTCTTGTCAGCTGAAATCACCTAACATTTGCGTGTCTAAATTGTTCTTTTTATAAACTTAAGAATTACTATTGCCTATAGGCAGCTGATGAGAAGCCGATGACACAAACAATGATGGCACCATCATATTCTGCACAAACTGCACTTCTTGACATATTCAAAGTCTCATCAGTGTGTATCTATGAGGTCAACTGCTTCAACAGAGCAAGTTACATGCTCAGAGTGATGTGGGTACGCGCATCAGTGAAAGAGTACCTGTATGGTTGAATGAAGCGGCAACCGAGTGTATAAATACTGTGGTCTTAGCCCACTTAGTAGACACTAAACATTCATTGACGACAGGGCAGTCGTTCTTGGTGAACTCGCAGCCAAGACAAATGGAAATTGGTCAATGAAAATTCACAGATTACAATATATACATATATATATATATATTCTCCAACAATCTCAACTTAAACTGGATCAGATCCTCTCAGATTTCTTTCTCAATGTTTCCATAGAACACTTAAGTGACCTGAACATACGCTTCAATGTGATCCATTATATTGTGATGATCATTGTTTAAGTCTGTGAAGACTATGGGAACTCTCTTCACCCACCATCTTTGAATGAGTACTGATAAAGTACTCATTTCACTCCGTTTATTGGATCTTATAAGGCCAAGTTAAAATTTCACACTGATTGTAATATACATTCACACACTCACCTCACTGAACATATTCCCACTCAATGAAGTTGAGTTCCAATTACCTGCTGCAATTTTCAAATGAAACGATGAAACACCAATCAGTTGTGAGCATTTCATGCCCGATTATGTTCTAGTCAACATTGAGTAGATTTCATTTGTTGTAGTTATGATTCATTTTCGGTACATTGTGTTACTTAGAATGAAATCCTTGAACACCTTATGTTTGGTGGACATATGCTGATATACATAACCTGCATATTTGAGTTGAATTCCACTGACGCTTTCACTGCACGGAAGCATTTAGGTCGTGTGTGCGTGTGTGTCTGTGTGTGTGCGTGCGTGTGTGATGGATGGATGGAGCATTCTCCCAAGTGATTGAACAAAGCTGCATTCAAGGTACAAACAAACAATTTCAATAAGAAAGACATGCAACACACCCTGGGTGTAGTCATTCACTGTTGTCAGCAGACAAACCTTGATAAAAAGAAGGCAAGTCCGTCAGCGATGAGTGTGTTTCGGCGAACTCATTTTCTCTGGTTGCACCATCGCATTTGCTTGCGATTTCGTCTCGATACATTGGATATTGGCAAAGGGATGAATTTCAGTATTTTTTTCTGCATTAATGAATCCTCATGACACATTTACACAGTCACCTACTCACAGCTACTTTGAAAGTCAATTTGAACCTAATAAATTTGACTTCTTGTCATTAGTATGTACACCGCATATCTTTGTAAGTACACTAGAACCGTATTTTGTTGTTTGCATTTATCAGTGAACTTTTTCACAAATCTATCAGTTGTAAGAGTGATAATAATAATAAGGGTTAAACTCTTGTTGTCAATCTGGCAGTGCAGGTTCTGTATAGTCTCATATCATTTCATACCAGAGACTTACAGATATATCAAATGGTCTTTAATGAAGCGGTTTTAGTGCATATGGAATTGGCATTCAGCGAAATCATTGTCTCATCGGTGATGCTTTTATCTCAGTTATTCTACAAATTCGTGGGTATCATTCAAGTCATCTTGAACAGTTTCAGTTGCAGCAACTTCGGTGTATCTGTAAATCATTTTGATTCTTTGTGAAATGCTGTATTACTTATGGTGAATACCACATCTACTGGTATGTTTCTCTAATGAGATTTACGTGGCCCATACACTAGGCGTATATGCTCAAACACGCTGATGAAATTCAAATATTTTAGGAAATATCATGTGTTTCTGCAGGATGCTGAATAATTCCTTTTCCTTTTTCTCTGCGTCATCTTCACCTCTTCGTGATTTATGGTGTTTCGATTATCCCATGGAATGCTGTTCAAGTTTTGATGTAGGTATTTGTATTTCATAATGAGACACAAGCTGATAATCGGGTCTCTTTATTAGCAAACTTTGGTTGGAACAGATTCCATTTCAAGCATCATTATATGCCTTTCCAACTATAATTTTCTCAGCGCACCTTTATTTTTCACTCTGAACATTGATTTACACGATAAGGAATTAGGCAGTGCAATATTATTTGTTTGATTTATGTCTTTTTGATGACACTGTGATCGCTCAACGTCCCGTCAACTTTCTAAGCGAATGTGTGCAGCTATAAATGGAATCAGACAGTGTAGGGGTCGATCGATATATCACAAATCCATCATTCATTATACCTTCTTATTTACTTTTACTTCTTCTGTAAATACTCCATTCCTGATAGAAATGAGTGAGTTTGTGGTTTTCTTGATGTCAAAAGAATAATATGACAATTTTGCTGAAACAATTAGTGAAGTCGACAATCATTTAAAATAAGGTAAAATGTAGGTGCTAAATACATAGTAGCTCATTAGAGGCATCGAGGCAGGGAAGTATTACTTAGTGGTTTAAATTAAATCCCATATATATACAAAAAAATGAATGATCATCTTTCATATGACACATTTTGCCGTCATATTAAGACAAAATTTAAGAAAAGACATGCGAATACATACAGTGCAATGTGTGCTGAACAGAAACTGTTTATGCTTATAGCTGAATAAAATAATCATTACCTACTGAATTGAACACGGATATTTGGTCAGTGAATCTGTCGGAAATCTTTGAATAGCTTGTAAAAATAGATTAGTATGACCACCTTCACTTCATTTGTAAAAGATGACGTAGATCAAGCAGAAACCTACCCGTGTATAACCAATTTTCCAAAGTTCAGGGACGAATCGGAGAATTCGCAGTCAACTCAGGATACAGCTTGCCCAAAAGAAACTTCAAGGAAATTATTCCAGCACCTTTAGTCTGGAGCTTGCAGCAAAATATCCTGCAACAGCTTCCATTTTGTAATGATTAAACGAAAGTGTATACAACAGGTGGCAGGTGATCCATTTGAAATGTCTGACGAAATGTTTTCCTCATAGATGTTTTCTGTCGTCACTGTTGTGCATTACTTTGAAACTGAAGAAATAAAACTGAAGCATAAATAAGCAAAGATTGTTGACGATTTTTGTATCGAACCTCTTAAGACCGTGATTAACAGGCAGTGGAATAGCCTTGCATATTTCACATAAAGAGGAGGTTTATAGCTTCTTCAAATTGTCCATTGTTATGTGACCACTGCATAAACATTTCCTCACGTCGATGTAATAATAATAGAAAGAATGATAACTACTGTTATTGGCAACAAACAATCTAAATACCTCAACTTCTAAATCTCTCACAAAGACGCAGCATTTGAAACTTTCATCGTAATGCTAAACACCCTAATTTCAAACAGAAATGTGACAAATGACGCAACGTATATGTTCATCTCCTCCAGCAGATCTCAATCAAAGGTTGTGATTCTGAACAATGCATATTTAAAGTGATATACGTATATGTAAGTATGGCGAGTTGCAACTTATCATCAGACAGATTAGCTTGCATACTCAACAACTCATTTTGTGCACGGAAGTATTTTCCACAGTTATTTCTTGTTGCATACATCACAGTGAATCAGCATTACTTGCAAGATGATGTTTGAGAAACAATTTATTCATCCAAATCACGTTTATAATCATGATTTCAGTGCAGTAGTGAAGTACATTCAGATGCATACGAAACGTATAATCTGTGATTCAATTTACTTACTTTTGTAACATTTGCAAACTTCACATTCCACATTGGCCTGAGATTCCTTTGAATTTTCGACAGTATTTCGAAAAACAAACCCACAATATTCCGTTTTATCATATTTTAACTAACGAATATTTAGTGTCTCAACAATTTCTGCAGAACTGATTCAACATGGTTCTCACAACAGTCGAAAATCAATGAAGAGTTAACAGACAGCGCATATGAGGCAGTGGATTATTGCTGGTAAATTTTGCATCTATTCAGGTGACTTTTGTAAGTGAGAATTTTGAAACGTTGTGCACATAGAGACTCATCAAGCAAGCAGAAGAAGATCAGGGATTGTTACAGTTAGGGAAGAGAATCTCAGTTACGTTTAAGATCAGAAGTGTCACGGTATCACAAACAGCCTTTATGTTTGCATTATATGTTCAAAAGCGGAAGGATTGCGCTTACATCGATGTGCTTTTACCTCGATTGTTTCAATATTGGAGAAATATTAAATATCGTGGATGAAGTGTGGCTAAGAATTTATGAAAGACTACTCAGCGTAGGTAAATTTCCCTCCATCATTCCTTCGACAAA